CCCCCCCCCCCCCCGTACTTCTACCAAGTTCGAACGCTCTAGGTCCACGGGGATCCACGGGGACAGGGGTTATGAAGTTCCGGTCAGACACACACACCGACACACACACAAACAATTAAACACACGCACACAAACACACCAACAAACCAACAGACACACTTAGCGAATTATATATAGTAGGAAAGTATGTTTCCTAGGAAGAAAGAAATGCTTGAGTAAGGTCAAAACTGAAAACAGTCACGTCAAGAGGGGAGAGAACAGCTTTTTGTATTATGAATTGTTTATTTATTAACATGCATAAGAATGCAAGATTAGGTGAAATAACATTACTGCTCCTGCTTCTCGGGTGTCAAATTCTCATTGCTCGACGAAAGCTGAAAAAGTCAAATTGGCATGCGTTTACACCAAAAATTTCGCCTCTGTCATGAATCAAAATAAAGACGCACCAACTTCCGCAACAGTTTGAGTGGATTCCGTGGTCGTAATGTTGTACGTCTACGAGAGCCTGGATGCGGTGCTCTTGTAGCTGTCGCGATCACCTTTGCTTCTGATTCCTGTGGTTGGGCCACTTGGACGAATTCCGGTTCACGAGCGCTTACTTCGTGAGGTAATTCCTCTTGAATTGCGCTTTCAAGCTTTTCTGCATCCTCCGCGCGAACATTTGGTGGTGGACCACCGATATCCTCTTCCGATTGAGTTCTGCGAAGTTTCTGAACGTGCAAATACTTAATAAGCCCTCATTTGTGCAAATCTAACAGCAACCTTGAAGTCGCAGAGGTCCAGCAAAACTTTTAGTGGTCCAGCTGCACCCTGAAAAGAACTCTCACTTGCATAGCGTGAAGATGCACTCATGCTCACTCTCATGCTTGTACTAAACCTATGTATACTTCGCAGCTACGTAAGTCCATTGGTTACGTTCAGAAGTGTTTGATCTGAGATTTATAACTGTTATCATTTTTGACCTGATGCCTTCGAATTGTGATGAAAGAAGATGGATAGAGAATTTGAGGATCGGTAGGTACGGAGGAGGGAAAATAATATTAATCGAAAGGCTCTAGCAAGGACGTTAGAGGACAACAAAGACGGAACTACTTATGGCTCTTGTATCGACAGTAAAGCTTTAGCACTTTAGAAAGTCGCCCCCGATTAGAGTGGTTGCGCTGTAAAGGATGAAGGATAAATCCTTGACCTGTGTAAGCTTTGATTTACGATGAGATCCGGGAGGTTCTACTAGTTATTTAAAACAAGAATTAGCACAAGGGTGGTCGTCCTCCTGTTTAGCGGCGGACTTCAAGGTGTTTGGGCGAGCATGCCACATTTGCTTTGCACTATTCCAGGCTCTGAAGAAAACGAAGCAGCCGAAACGTTGGCCAAATAGAGTGTGAATCTTGAGCGGTTTTAGGAGGATTTATCTTCACTTTATATCATGCCAGGAATGCAAGAAGGTCGAACATGGGCTAGAAGAGCAGCAGTTATGAACGAAGCCGACAAGACCGGAAAGAACACTCGCAAAGCTCGCCGGTGTTTGGCCATTAACAAGACCCAAATGACTCCCTTTCGTCGTCCTGACAGAACAGTCAACGCATCTCGGTAGGCGATGGAGGAGGTCATCTATGGATCTCCTCGACGGAGCCTACCACGTACACGTCCACCTGCCTACCTACCACAGGCAAGACGGATATGTATCACTTTCACTTCTACCTTCCGATATTCGGCATGCCATGATGTCGACGAAGAATTGTACGGCGCCCGGTTTGATCAAACGATCAAACCTGAACATCTGAAGAGCCTTCCGCCAGTTATTGTCAAAACCCTGGCTAAGCTTTTCATGCAGTACCTGTCGGAGCGCAAAGGCCTACCGAGACTGTGTAGCTTATAAGAAGGGAGATCCAGACAATATTGACAACTACTGCCCAATCTGCCTGCTGCCAGTGATCTACAAACTTTTCACATGCGTCATTCTCAGCAGGATTAGCAGAATATTAGACGAAAGACAGCCACGCAAACAAGTAGGGCGTGGGGAGGGTCCAGCAGAAACGATCACATTCACACCGTTACAAGACTCATTGAAGTATCGCGAGAATACAGGATTCCGTTGTATGTGACGTCCATCGATTTGAAGGAAGCCCTTGATAAGGGCAGGTAGGGGGCCCGAGAAGGCAAGAGCCAATCGAAAGATTTGCGCCTTTCATGTTAACATTGTAGCCTTGACACTTGGTGGGTGGTGCGGGTTGTCACAATATCATAGATGGTTGGTGACAGGGAGTTATTGCCTGATGAGGGCTGATAGGAAACCATAAAATATAAAAGGTTCCTTCCCGGTCGGACACGCTCCTTGTAGTGACATTGCCACTTTGGTGGGAGAAGTGTAGTTCGACGAGATCGTAGATGCTTGGTAATAGAAACTGTTGTCAATTGCTACGGGCGATAAGGGCCATAGAAGGCAAAAGTACTGAGTTGGAACTGTAGTAGGCTAAACCCCTATCGTGTTTACCATGTAGCTCTAATGGTTGAGTAGGTCGACAAGGGAGGACAAGTAAGTAGTAAGGGCGGACAAACACATTACCAGGATAAGGGAGGCAATTCAATTACCGTTACGCTGCTGTTACGATGTCTACGCTTCATGATCTGTATCGAACAGGGGTTGCGTTTTTATGTCCGATATCTATTGCGACAAAATGATCCGACGACCAATAGTCCAGGAATCTCAACCTGTGGTTTACTCTACGAAGACCCGAAGGATCATGGGAACGCTTCTTGTGATAGGTATCAGCCAACAACATTTGTGAGTGCTGTTTTGAGGCGCTGGGTGACTGATCAGATTGCTCATCATGGTGAAATTAGTGTGCGAGTGGACCCAATACAGGAAAGAGCTGCAGCCTTGATGAACCAATATTAGTACAATAAGATCAGGGTGAACAGCAACAGTAGCATCTGTTATCGAAATCGTAGCCATGTCCGTTACCAAGAATTGAATATCAGTCCCATTGTTTTATTAAGCACCTGTCATTCATGGATCCATGTTGAATTCGCTGGGCCCAGGTGGTTGTGGGACTCTCCTTGAAATAGTTCACCGTCTAGAAGAGCATCACTTGCTTCAAGGAGCAAGATAGTGGATCAAGTCAGAATTCTAACTTTGTTACAGGAAGAGAGCAAGCTCGGTGTAGTTGGATGAATTCTTGTTCAATCATGCCGCAAGTGCGCATACAGTTCACGATGATTTTGAGGTACCTCAGAATAGTGCAAGGGTGGCGAAGAAAGCGTGAGAATTGTTGGATTTCTAAAAAATATGTGACTTCAAAAAAGAAGCAAGAAAGGGGGTTTTACGATATGAATGTCTCGGTGTCCCTCATTTACGCGTGCTCTTCTCCTCGTAACGTGAATAGTGCAGTAATAACAAGGCTGGTATAACACGGACATTTTGAAGGTTTGCGTTGGTCAAACCGGTATCGGAATCCTTATTTCTCCCTGTCTAGACCGTTTTTCGGCCTGACAGCAACCTTCATACTATGCTTGGGGGCCACAGTTCCATTCAAGAAATTTCAAAAACCTTTATCGTGAACTGTGCTTGTAATAACGAGTTGCGACATCTTGAACAAATAGTACCATGCTCTCTTGCAACACATAAAGTTGTAACGGATCATGTGAAGTGACAATCTGACTGGACTGGATTGGATTCTGGACAACGGTATGCAGTATAGCACCGTCACACTAGTCGATACTGATACATATTTCCTAACGACTTTCTATAATACATACCGCACTGTGGTTTGTAATGAGAGCATTAAAATGACATTTTGTTTTATTCGTAAGCATAAGGGGACACTAGCCAACTCATTCGCTGACCTGATCGCGGGCCGTGTTCGAAAGTGAATTTTCGTGTTGGAACCCTGGCAGGTAAATAAAGCATGAAGCACTGACGAGTGTTGTGCGGCTATCTCAAGAATACTGCGAAGAGGGACTTTGTCCTCTCAAGAGCCCCACCTGTTTCCATAATTTCAAAGCGATAAGGTGCGCACCCTCGATTTACGGCAACATTTCCGAGGCGACAGGAACATGCATTAGTGCTTTATATAAACCCCAATGAATGTATTGATATCGCTTACTCCAAGATCTGGTGTGGCCGACGAAGGGCATGGCGTGGTCTGGATTGCCAAATCACGAAGATATGGTAAAGTTTTATCAACATCCACCTATAATTTTGCTTTTGATAGATAGCGATTGGAGTGAAAGACCTATGGTCTATCCGTTGTTAGATTAAAAACAGCATACCATTCGCGGCATAATCAGATCCGGGAAATCGTCCACTACCTTGTACAGTGTATCCTGAAAAAACAAAGTCTTTTCTGATGTTACATCGAGAATTCAAATCTGTTGGTTATCAGCAGTATGGCGGTGGTGACGGGAGGTAGCACGACTGAGCTTCCAATGTTGTACGAATTCAGGGTTCAATTCAGAGCATTATGTAAGTAGGATGACTTTTCAGTGCCGCCCTCGAGAATATCATGCGTCATTTGGAATGGGAAGACTTGGGAGTGAAGGTCGACGGCCGCTTCCTACATCACCTCCGCTTTGCAGACGACATCGTGCTCGTAACACCGAACATCGAGCAGGCG